TCATCCTGGCAGGGACCCTTTGCCTGTGCTGAGGCAGTGCCACAGGATTGCCCTGTGCTGTGCGGGGTCTGTGGGAAATCCCTGCCATATCACCCTTTGCCTTTGCGTGCTGATAAATCCCACACCAACCCTGATGCTCCCCACATGGAGAAGTGTTGCGGTTGCAAGAGAAGAGTTCACTTGCGAGGCTCTTCCCATGGGTCCTTAGCCAGGGAACTGGTGGCTGGGACAGGGTCATGAAGTGACCTATTTCTGTTTCCCACACCAGCAAGCCCAAGAGCCTTTTCCTTTGCAATGAGCTCAGCAGCCTCAGCCAACCCAGGCAGCCCCAGCACTTCCATGGGTGACCCAAGGGCTGATGTGGGGCTCGCCCTGGTGACTCTTCCCTGCCTCCCACAGAGCGTCTCACCGGGCTGCATCCACAGTGTGCTGCTGCTGGCCGAGAAGGAGCTGGTTGCCCAACGCGAGAGGCTGCCTGGGGTGCAGGTGAGCCTGTCCTTGTCCCCTGGGCTGCTCCAGAATGTCGCTGGAGATGGACCAGCCTTATGAGCCCTGTGTCCTGCAGATGGAGACCCTGACATCGCTGAAGGCTCTGGGCCGCCACGTCGACAGCTCCCAGCTGCCCCCGGAGCTGGACGGCGCCTTCCCCTACTGCCACGGCGAGTGGGTTCAATTCTTCCAGGTGTCTGTTACCACGCCATTAGCCATTGCTTCACCTCCCCTGTGCCCCTCTGTCCCCACCATCTTACATTTCCCACACACATCTCTGGAAAAACAACAGGAAGGACTGGGACAAGGGAAAGAAAAGGAGGGTTCTGAGTGCAGGAGGGCAGCTCCTTCCTGCCTGCTTCTGCCTGCTGATGCCCATACACCTCCACAGCACCTCCCTCTTCAGCTTTAACCCAGTGCCTCACAGTATTCCCTGCTCTGGTCTGGCACTGCTTCTCCTCTGTCTCCTTGAGGGCAGACTGCCCTTCTGTCCCGGCCCCGCTGACCCACCATGTGTCCCCTCCACAGAAGCTGCATCCCTTCACATCTGGCCTCAGGCAGGCATCAGAGCTGCTGCAGTGCTGCATCCAGGAGCTGCGGAGCACCGATGCACTGGCAGGAACACAGGTAACACGGGTGGCAACACCACAGGTTGGGAACATTCCCAAAGCACTCATCTGCAGTGCAGCCACAGCAACATTTCACCTGGTTGCCCAAAGCTTGGCATAACCACTCCCAGACTGGCTGCTCCTGACCGTGGTGCTGTCCTGTCCCCTCTGCTCATCACTGGGGGGCAGCCTCAGGTCTCCATGCTGTGCTGGCTGAGGCTCCAGGTGAGGCCCCAGGTAGGACACCTGTCTGACCCTCCCTCCCTCTGCAGGACGTGGCTGCAGGCATCAGGAGGCACCAGGAGCTGATGCAGAAGGTGCTGAGTGACCCTCAGCTGGTGCGGGTGCAGCGTGAGGGAGGGTTCGTGCTGGCCAGGCTGCGCAGGGAGGCTGCTCGTCTCCACGCCTCCGACCATGTCAGGTAGGAGGGGGTGGCCTTTGCCAGTCAAGGGTGCCCATACTGGGGACCCTTGGCTTCTGCTGATCTCCCCAGAGACAGCCCAGTCCCCATGAGCATGAGCTGGTGCCATGCTCCCTCCTGCCCTGCAACTCCCTCTGAGCCCAGAGCGCACATCTAGAACAGCCCTTTGCAGGATCACCCTGATCCTGGCTGGGGAAGGTGCCAGGTCCCTGGGAGGGTCTCCCACCCCGGTCCCGTCTCTAGGGCTGCTCTGTAGTGCCGGCGGCGATGCCTCGGGCTGGGCTCAGGAAAAGCCACTAGATGGGGCCAAGTCCCGGCCACGCCGCAGTGTCCGTGCCGTACTCATCCAGCCATGCCGTGCTCAACCAGTGATGTCGCGCTTGTCTGGCCATGCCATACTCATCCGGTGGTGCTGTAATCCAGCTGTGCTCTACTCATCCCGCCATGCCGTAGTCATGCAGTGATGTTACGCTTGTCTGGCCATGCCATACTCATCCAGTGGTGCTGTAATCCAGCCATGCTGTAATCAGGCTGTTCCATACTCATTCGGTGATGTCGCACTTGTCCAGTGACTCTGCACTGGTCTGGCCATGCCACACTGGTCCCATAATCTGTGTATGCAGGCAGCACTAATCCCACTGCTCCCTTCTCTTGGCTGACAGGCAATACTTTCCCATCCCATGATCCCTGCCATCCATCTTGCTCCATGAGACATGGAGATGTCTGGGTGTGTACAGAGCTGGTGTGAAGAGCCAACCAAGAGACCTGCTCCCTCCATCTCATGCATCCCCAAGCCCACCCAGCACTGATGGCCCCTTTCCTCCCAACCACCAGGACTGGCATGGAGTCAGCCGAGGGGCTGTACAGCCGACTGGAAGAAGAACTTCACGATCTAGTGTCCCAATCCAACAGCTGCCTGGAGCGCCTGGAGTTCCTCCGAAAGGTCCGGGAGCTCGA